ATTTGCGAGTAGTTTTGCTTTGAAATCAAGCGGGATTCCTGCGGTGTGTACACGGGCTTTCGTACCGTTCGTACGGATGGACGGACGAACGGAGGTGACGTAGAGCAGTTTTCGTATGACTGTGAAATGTTCACGGCATGAACATTTGAAAAGTAGTACCTCTTTTGCCCGCTGTACTTAGACTTTGGAATAAGCCAGTTTTAATGTGGTTTTTTTTTTTACCTCCACTGTTAAAGAAAGAAGGATGGGAAAAACGTCAAAACTGGCTTAATCCAAAATCTAAGTAAACAGGGCGATCGCGAAAGAAGCCGGAAGTCGAATACAAATTTATTGAGGTCGCACTGTGATCAAACAATCCCTACGCAATGTAAACATGACATTATATGTTTCCGAGTCTTCAGGAGAAGGTTGGGGAAAGGGTGAAGGCATACGTAAATCACTTGAAGAATCACAACTGTTAATCAAAGTATCATGATCATCCGGGTGGATGTAGTCCTGAGAAGGACTGTTTGATGTGACTGACGGTTCGACAACATGAGCGGAAGTCATCTTCAGAGTCAAGTGAAAAATAAAGTCAGATTGGTCACATTTATACTTAAGAATTACTAATGATTGTCGTGGTACATGTACTGCCATTCGAGACAGAATAGACGGCACAAATGGTTGTTGTGGTACTGCTTTTTTATCTTGCACGTATATTGTCTCTTCAATAGCGACAGAGTTTCATATTGATCACTGAGTCCGTCCCAATATTGTAATGATTTAAACAAATTGTTGTTTGAATTCATGTTTCAACGGTTACATGTGGCCTTCAGAGCTTCACTCGTTCGTTCGTTCGTTCGTTAGTTCAGTCGATCGTTCGTTAATTCGTTTGTTTTCTTGGTTGTTCATTTGATGGTTTATCATGGTCTATATTGGAAATTTTGTCACGATGTTTTTGTGATTTTATAGATTAAAGATGCGCCGTGTATGTCAAGCACCAACACAGAAGGAACACAGCCGGCGGGACAGCCGGCGGGACAGCCGGCGGGACAGCCGGCGGGACAGCCGGGAACACGAGGACATCGAGTTGTCAACAATAAAAAGAAAAAGAAACTTCATTAACCACTTATCATGAAGGTGGTCGGAATAAAATCCAGTTTAATGAGAAATAATGATATTTGTATAATTCCCCCCCCCC